AAAAATTTGCAATCTAATGTTTTCAAAACACTCTTCAGTTCATTCTAAGAAATGTTCAAAATGTTTACCATTTACTTCCTGACAGTCTGAAGTCTTCCTGAAGTCTGTTAATAAATTTGTTTCTCACATAATGAAATGTTATGGGATAATAATTTCGTTGAATCATAACATAGAAAAAGTACGTAGTTCATTTCAGAACTCATGGATACAAAAAAGTGTCCCTTTTTGTTATGATCCCCTCAAAAACCTCTAGAGGCGTCATATAGGCGTGATATAGTGGGCTCTTCTAAGGGACCACATCTGCCTGTCTACAGGTTTGGATAATTGACGCAAACGTGGCCTATTAGATCACCTGATATGACACCCTTAGATTTTTTTGTGGGGTTTCGTGAAATCTAAAGTAAAGTTTACACAATCGCAGTATATTCCAGAGCTCATTGATGATTTGCAGATTGCTAAAATAATTTGATGTATGAACTCTCATTGATTTACATTTGTGATATCTTTCTTAAAGAAAAAAATTAAGTGAAAGTAAAAGTTTTGTGTATGAATCAGCCATCAAATTTTGTGACTATAAGGCACTGACATAGCATCTTTTTATGTTTCAAAAATTATGACCTATCAATGAACGCAACTTCAATAGCTTGGTATACTTTCTTTTTTCTGATTCGCACTGTAGTAATAAAATAGACAAATATGTTATTAGATGTGTTTCGAAAACTTGTTATATATAAAATAATATACATTCTCTTCTCTCGTATTGTTGAGTCATAGCAATTTTGTGTCAAAAAAAAGCTCGTATTCGTGCAAGTACATACCGATATTTCTAAAAGTTATTCCCGTCGCTACTCACCTATAACAAAATAATATAATTATTCCAAAATGAATGCTCAAAAAAATTAGAAAACACACCTTCAACGCCTGGGTCGTCAGTCTCCCATCTGTAGGTAATCTATTACATGAGATGTTTTCCAATTATCCTCACAAATCATAATCACTAGGTACCACTATCACAACTGTCACACTTTTACACGTTTTCAAATTTTCTACTGAAAGTTCTTCCAAATTTCACAAAACAGTAAATCACAACTGACGAGACATTATGACAAATCCCACCTACTCTACTTCTCTTGTTTTTCACAGTGTTTTGGAGAACAACACACCTTTTTTTACAACTGATAACATCCTAAAGTAAGCCAACGACATTTTGCATAACTTCCTGATTGACATCAATATACCGATATCCCTGCATTTTGAGATTCATTGGTATTGTGCCTTCACATTTATATATGAAATAGTCGATTATTTTTTACTATGAGACATGAGGCCCGTAAAGGAGTGATACAAACTTTGTTTTTACATACACATCATATACGTTTGTGAATGAGAATTTGATTGTTTATTCTTCATAACATTAAGGATGAAGGAGGGATTTCAATAAAACCTGTCTAACTTTTGACTTTAGTTTTTGGTTAATAACTAACAGCACAAACATATCGTAATCATTCGATTCTGAAAAACATTTGTTATTTTCATAAGTATGATCCGTGTCATTTGATTGGATTATGAATGACAGTTACCGCCATTCGATTGTTACCATTCTCAAACGTTTTTGGTTGATGACAGTAATCACTAACTGATCCGAATACTTCAAACCTGTTAATGTAATTTTTAGATGATAAGGAAGTCAAAGACTTTAGAAACTTATTAATGAATATTTTGTTTTTCACTATAAAAAGTTCACAAAACCGCGACACTGTTGTTATTCAAGAATGAATACAATCTTTTACAAAATGAATATTACTAGAGTTTTATCCCAACACCAGTTATTTTTAACACCTCGACACATGTTTCAATCATCAAGTGATCATCTTCAAGAAGCAGATTGAACAGCTTAATCTTCCTCTTGAAGATGATCAAACTCCAGTAATACTCATTACTACACCAAAGATTCCAAACAGTGCATCATAAAAACGATCTTTTACAGTCTTCATACCACGACTGAGAGAATTTTGCCCTCGTTAAATCAAGTGAGCTAAAATCGAAGACCGAAAGTGTTCATCAAGGCCAGTAGAGGTAAGAAATGAACTGAAATACCTATCAAGATTCACTTTTCTTGCACTGCATACTCTAAGAATGTAAACTTTCACGGCTATGTATGTAGACTATTTTCCGTATTTTCTAGCCGTGGTCTCAGGTTTTTATGCCTAGCGTTTCGTCTACTGCGTTGGATACGCATTAACTGCCCTTTAATGCGTTATATACAACAGGAACAAGAACCCGAGGAACAGCTTGGGTATTGCAACCGTTACCAGATCGACTTTGAAAATGTAAACCGCAGCAGTAGACGAATGATGGTCAGATGGTTAGAAAATTGCCTTCATACCCTACCCAAACTATATTGAATAAATTCTTCTAAACATAGGTCTTTCTGGTGGAAGGATGTCTCTTTACTACTCACTAGGGATACCTCCCTTACTCTCAATTCTCAGAATTTCACCAGTTTGCTATAAATCAGCAGAAATCAGAACAAAATGAAAATAATTACATACTTCAACTTCTGAGTGTACCTGAAAATCAGAAACTTAGATTTTGTGCAACGAAGGGATGGTTCCAAAACAAGCACTTTTTCCTAACACCAAAACTGCAATACTCTACTCGACGCACGTTTCACTAACCAAGTTGGTGTCTTCAGGAGATGAAGAAAACTACTTCATAATAATTCTAAAGCTGGAGAAAAGTATTGCAGAGCACTCCGGGCGACTTTATTCATTTGTAGATGCATATTTAAAATATATAAAAACCCGGTAAACTATAACATAGCATCTACATTTTTTTTATAGAATGTGTAATCAATATTAATTACGTGATTACCTAATTCAAAAACAATAAAATTTTCGAAGCTATCCCTGGTATTTTTATGATGTTAAAAACTTTCCAGCGCCAATGACTATTATATGACTCAAAATGACAACCAATATTTCCAATTAAATAAAGATTGTGCTCAATTGATTGTTGAACGAAGCGTACGTTTTCAGGAATGGCGACAACCGGTTGAAATTACTTGCCTTGAATCTGTTTGAATAATGAGAACAATTGGCCGCGGTGGTAGTGCGCCCGACTCACGATCGGAAGGCCGTGGGTTCGATTTCCGCCTCGACCAGATATTTTTCTCGAGAGAATTTATCTGGTTGAAGCTGGGATGATCCTGCAACCGTGTTAGGAAGCACACGTTAAAAGGTAAGACCTCGTTAGTCCTTAGCTCGCACAAGTTTCTCATCTTCTGAGAGTTGTCGTTCGTATGGGGGCGACAGCTGATTAACGGAAAAACAAATTTTAAACAGATTTTTGTAAAAGTGGGCTGGTAGGTCGTGGTCGAATAGAGCCCGAAGTACCAAGCGTTTTGTCTGCTGCTGTGGCAGACATCAGCAGTGTATGTGTGTTGACTTCAAGGCGACAACTGATCCGTTAATCGCGACTCCGTCCGTAAAAGCCTATGTGCCTGAGGTAAACCCACATTGATTTGTAATATTGTACTGAGTTTGCTAACAATTTTAACAGTTTGTGTTAGTTCTGTCAAATAGTTGTTCATTGTGTAATTATGGCATTAGATGCTCGGAATTTTTAGTATTTGATTTGTTTATGAACGCGAATTGTTGTATTATCATATGATGTTTCATTCGATGTGAAGACTATGTTCTCCAACCATACAACGAATGTAAGCCCCTCATTTTAGATATATTAGATCAAGCCAAAGTAGACCATATCACATCTTTTGAAATTTCTACAGCTTTCGATGTGTGCCTAAATCAGGGTTACCTACAGTTCAACAACAAATTTTATTAACAGGATTCAGGTTTACCAATGGGTTCACCCCTTAGTCCACTTTTAGCAAACATATTAATGAACAGCTTGGAGACCAGTCCACACTCGAAACAGAGATAGAGAAACAGATAAATTTCTTAGACCTGATGATTACAGACAATCAGAATAAATTTGAGTTCAATTTATTCATAAAACCTAGCTATACAGACATTACCATTCCAAGTGATTCTTTCCATGCAGGCAGTCATAAATTAGCAGCCCACAATTCAATGTTGCACAGAGCATTCTCACCTTTGTTTGCTAACAATCTAGCTAGGGAAATTAAAATAATTATACAGATAGGCCATCATAATGGTTTCAACGCAGACACAATCCTGAAGTTAGTCAGAAAACAAAGCCGTAAATTCACTTACAGATCAATATACTCCCAGATCAAACAATCAGAAATCAAGAAATGGGTAACTTAACATATTTTGGTAAAGGAACAGAGATAATTGCGGGTTTCTTCAGAAAAAACAATGTGGAAGTGGCATTCAGACCACATGCCAGGTTACCTGATTTACTTTTCAATGCCAAAGATCAAGTGGACAAGTCGGAGAAATCTGGAGTTTATAAGCGTAAGTGTCCGGAGTGTAATAGTGTTCATGTGAGACAATGTGGTCGAAATTTCTTAAAACGATATGCTGAACATGAAAGGTCCTTCAGACTAAGTAAAAATGATTCGACATTTACAAACTATTCCATGGGATGCAACCACTAGTTTCTGAATCTAAACGATGCGGAAATTTTGGAGTATGTAAGGAAGGGTTACAAATTCAATATTTGGAATCCTCGGAAGTTCATAAGCATAAACATTGCGGGGGAAACCTGTTAAATGATCAAATCGATCTAGTTTATTCACCGATTTTCAAATTAGCATATCCATATTGTCACAGGTAAACAAAATTCAGGTTCTCAATCAAGTACCTCTGTTATTACCTACAGTGGTGTTATATAAGGGCTAATTAGATCAATCATTTTTAGTTTGTGTAAGTTTGAAAATGTCCTTACTGGACGAAACTGCAGTAACATTAGTTACAAATAAAAGTGATAAAAAACATAGGAAGTTTCAATTCTCATTGTTGGAATAGTTTAGCACAATTATTGATACATTCTTAATATTACACTATCAAACATGAAATTATTTACTATTACATTTACTCTATATTTCACAAAAAAATACTCATTTCAGAAACTCTATCAAACTTTAATTTCTTCAAAGTCTCAAAACAGAAAACGGTAACAGCTGGACTGCTTAGTGCTCAATGCAAATAGAATATGTCATATAATTTTCACAATTTTCGTCATTATGCAATTATTCAATCTGCCCTCCAATATTCTATTGATTTTTCCAATAATTTTTATGGACATCATTTCAGAAACCTGCAACAAAAAACAGTAAATGATCGATGTTGTTTTATAATCAATATTATATAATATAGTGCATTATCAGAAATGTAAGCCTGAACAAGAAAGAGCAACCCAAACATAGTAAAGTTTTATTTCAATTCATTCAATTTGGACAAGTCACTTACCCAAAATCGTTAACATCAATAAGAGGATCTACCATCTCGAAAATATTATAATACCTCGAACTTCTTTTAGCAATATCTGCAGCTGTTTCTCCATTATTATTCTTTATACTGGGATCAATGAATGGATGCATTAGGAGAAGTTGAACAGTGTCATAAGAAGTACCATGGGATGCAGCAATGTGTAGAGGCGTTTGTTCTAAAAAGAAATGTATTACTTGACTAGTTCAGTGAAAATGTAACTTGAATAATAAAAAACATAACTTAATTAATGGGACGAGAAAGTATAAAGAAGAAGCTGAAGTAGTCTCTTGACTGCCAGCCTTCCAGCATTTTTTGTAGTACCGCCATCAAGACACTGAAGAATTAGGTACAACAACTTGGATATATGAAAATTTTTCAATGTAGGGTTTGGTCAA